CACTTGTAGAGACCTGTTGAATTTCTTGTCTGACCCTTCCTCAATGATGCAGGATGGTGTATATCTCAGGATCCTCATTCCAAACATAAGTGAAGTCTGCACAGAATTATACAGTTCACCCAGTAATATGGTTCATTCACTGATAGGACCAGATACTGGAATCCCTGACTTGAGTCACCTCTCTTGTCATTGGATGTTTTCTGATAAGAGGTAAGTGCTATAAAAATGAATAAGCAACAGGATCCCTATTGTTGCAATTCTGGGAAGCAGAAGACTTTAAAGCTTCTTACTCCATAACATCCAAATGGGCCCCCAAAACATTTAGCCCCTTGGCAGTGTCCCAGACAATCGTCTTGGAAAATAAATCACTCTGCCCAGAAGTACCCAGAAAATTTAAAGTCTCTGCTTTCAGGTTATCTGAAGAGCCTAGATGAAGAGACCTAGCGTGAGTTGTAGTGAACAGAGGGTGAGGGTTCCAAGAAAGTCATGATCAGTGCTCAGTTCTGGTCTGTCTGTCTGTCTGTCATTATGCAGTGCACCAGAAACTAACACAACATTGTAAATCAACTATACTTCAATTTTTTAAAAAAATGTAAACTCTTGCAATAAAATAAAATGACTCAGGTCTCCTCCTCCAGCCATGCTGCCCTGCCCTTCCACACAGCTCCAGACAGATGTCCATTTGCCCCAAGCACACCCCCACTCTCCTGTCCTGCTGCATGTGACTGAATGTGTTCCCTTCTTTCCCAAAGTCTCCCTACTGACTTCTACTGGTTACACTATGCAAATATTCCTGTATCCTTTGGGGATCCCAAATTACCCATCAACACCCATGAACTCCCCTCTAAATCACACATAATACTTGATACATGTGTGCATATTTTCCTGGGGAGAAGACTCTTTCATTATATGCTCAGAGGGCCCATGACCCTCTCATCCAAAAGGTTGGAAACGGTCTGTTATTTTAAACAATGATGTCCTTATGTTACATTTGCTGACTCCCCCTGCCTCCAGTGTCCTTCCAGTCCATTTTGTGCACTGACGCCACTTCACTGTCCATCAATAGAACACAAGGTCTACCTGCTTCAATTTTTCGTCCACTCTCCCCAGTCCACAGGAGGCTGACGCTGGTGCCACCGCACCACTTTTATTCCTAATTAACTGCTTTCCTTCCTAGACTACCTCCCCTGCCTCTCTCCCCACACACATCCACACCCTACACTTCCAGGCCAAGCCAAAGACACATCCCAGACTAACACTAGCCCAGAGGTAGAGTTTGGTCACAGATGAGGGGTACCTGAGTGGGGATGTGGGTCTGGAGGCCTGCAGGGCTGGAAAGATCTGCATGGAGTTGAAAATCTTGAAAATGGATGAGTTTTCCAAGGTTTCAACCTTGAAAACAAAAGAGCTCTCCAAGGTAAATAAAAGCAGAAATAGTCAAGCGTTTATTCTCAATTTCTACAGCTCTTAGGTGTCTGACCCAGAGCTCGGCAAAGAACCCACTTGAACACTTACTGAACAAATGAGGAAGGTTACATTCAAAACAAAACATACCTGAAGGGGAAAACGGGAGTTTCATAAGGTTAAAATTTGCCTGCAAAATATTTTGAACAATTTACTTTGCAAAAAAAAAAATAGGTGAATTATTTCCCTAGTCCTTGCCTCAAAAATTGTAGTTTATAAAAGCATTTTAGTGGAAAGTGGTTTAAAGCGGCTCAGGAAATGTCAAATCACATCCTTAATAGGTGCATATGAAATACACATCTTTCTATTAATATTTTTCAGGGATTAGATAATAAAGTAAAAATACAGTGACAAGAAAGAAAATACACTTGGAATTAATAATTAGTAAATCATTATCTCAGGCATTTGTTTAATTACTGTTAACCTATGCAACTAACCCCAGGCATAATTATTTAGGAAAGAATTCATGTCTTCTTAGCAACACATTCTAAACCAATATTATTAGTCTCTAAGGAGAAAATGTGCCTGCAGTTAAGTTAGGTGTTTAATATTATGAGTCAATATTAATATTAAACTAGAGCTGAAGACAGAACAGAAAACAGGGGCTGGTGCACAACCATAGAACCACACTATGGTCTGTTACCGATGCAGGCAACTTTGAGTTGCCAAATTAGGTGTTACTGAAATGGACAACCAAGCCGGAAGTTGGTGGCTCAGCAGGCAGGGCCCGCCCCTCATAATGCGCTCACCGACATAATGTTCCCCCAATGCTTCATCTTCACTTGCAGAAGAGAATGGATAAGATCCAGGCCAGGCAAGTTTGGTCACTTGCACAAGGTCCCAGCCACTAGGCACACAGCTACCAAGGAGACTGGCTTCTACCTGACCATCTGTTCTCTCCCAAATTGGCAGCAGTTTATAAATTCCCCCAAGGCTTAACCATGCCCTTTGGACCTCCATGTATAGGAGCCCTTTAAAAACGCTCATCCCCAAGCTGGCTTCCCACTACATCCTGCCAACTGTCAGACCAATGAGCCCAACTGTGCCCCAAATATAGAGAATTTCCACGTAGAAGAGCCCTCAACAAATAACTGCTCCTCTCATTGTACATGTGATGAAATGGAGGCTGGAAGATCTGAGAGCTGGGCCCGAACCCTGAACTTCTCCCAGTTTAAAGGAGGTTCTGCTGTATCCCAGTTCTGCCAGCGATTAGTGACCTGGGAGATGCCAACCAAAGTAGTGCTGGCTTTTCAGGAAGTGATAGTGCGGTCCTTCAGGAATCCTGAGCACCTAGGGCCTTTGAGTATTATTGGAAAAGCATTGTTCTTTTTACAAATGGGAAATTTTCCTTTTACAAACTGACCTCCTGCCATTGCCAAGCCCTTCCCACTTGCTTCCTCCAGAAATGGTCTACCTTGTCACCCCTTGACACTGCTACCCAGCTTGGGCACAGGACTCCTGCCTACTAGACCCCTTTGTAAATGTAGTGAGCCCTGGCAAAGGGTAAGAGGAAAAGGCTGCAGCTTCAGAGGCTTTGTGATGTAGCTCTTATCCAGCACGGGCTCAAGTGGCCACGAGTATCTGGAGCAAAATAAGGGTTTATTTGCAGGATGCCAAGCAAGGCAGTGGGAGACGAGTCTCAGATCCACTCCATCTTGGCCGTTAGGTTAGGGTGTTACAAAGTGGAAGAACAGAGAAGCTGGGATTAATCATCATCTTGTGACGTTTCTATAACAGTTCTTAATCGTAATTTCAGGAGTCAGGATGTCTCTGGTTTACAATTCTCCGACCAGCTGATCCATGGCTTGGAGGTTTGTTAGTTCATCTTGCTCTACAGAAACAACCCAAGTCTTTGATGATGATCTCTGTAATAGCAACTTTGGTATATTAACAATGTCGTAGATAACAGCAGCCTTAGTCATCTGACTCTGCTCAGTTAGTGCTCAGTTAGCACAGGATTGAGGTCAGAGGGGACAAGAAAGGATTGAGGTTTTGGATAGAGAGATTAATTATAAGCTCTGTAAGGGAACTCAATTTTAGATGGACTCAGTTTCATAGCCAGTGGCCAAGTCTTTGACCCGAAACCTGCCTAGGGTGCCCGTGTCTTCATGAAAGGCTTTGCCTGGCGCAGAAAAGCCTTGCAGCTGATAAGCCTGGTGTAGTCCCTATCCTGCCTTTTTTCCACCAGTTTCCCTCACCCACTTCACCTTTCCTCATTGGCTTGGGCAGATGGCCCAGTTTGTCAGCAACCAAACCAGAGACATGGGCTGAGCTGACTCACTGAGGAACAATACTTCCTTCCAGAGAAGATTCGCCATTCATTTAGACACTGGAGCAATTATTTTCTGGCTGACAGTTGTAATTACTTTCTACTGCAGGTAGGCAACTGTTCCAGAAGCCGCGCTAATAGGATTACTGATTTCTGAAGGGCTTTTGGAACAAGTAATTTTCAAATAGTCAGCGCAGCATGTTCAATGAACTTTCCACCCAGGATAAATTCCTGCCTCTGTGGCTCCTCACGGCAGGCAAGATGTGGGTTCTTGGATGGGGCTCTTTGGAATTGCAGGAGCATTTTTCTTCCAGGATCCTTTGTTTAGAAATGGGACTTGAGCAAATCATACTTGGAGATACTTCATGAGTTTGCACCAAATCATTCTTCTAATTTTTAATTACTCT